TGCCACATCCACAAATGAAGGTCTTGAAAGCTTTCTCTTTTCCATGAGTAAGGCTGGGTTTACTCAGATGTTGCAGCTCTTTCCCAATCCTATTTTTTGAGCCTTTTAGCCTAAACGGACTATTCCTAAAGTTGCACGGTAATGTAGCAAACAGTGTTTCTTTGCTATTCATAACGTTATCTTTTAGCTTGACATAATTTCTGATGAGATATTTTATATCTTATCTCTTTCTTTGTATATAATGTATCTCTTTCTCTAGCTGCTTTTCATAACTGATTTTCAGCAATTAGATTATAAAATGACTTGGTCTGGTTCTTTGTATGTTTCTTTGAACTTTATAGTTTTCACCAATTTTGGAAAACTTAAAGGCCATTATTTCTTCTTTTTATATCTCTTCTCTCTTCTTTCCTGGGACTCTAGATACACAAATATAAAACCACTTGATATTTTTCTATAGGTAACACTGTTCTCTTCATTTTATTAGTCTCTCTTCTCTCCTTGATTCTATTTTGATAGTTTCTATTGCCATGTCTTTAAGTTTATTGATATTTTCATTGTAACATCTATTCTGTGGTTTATTCCTTATCTTAGTAAGGATTCTCTAGAGAAGCAGAAGCAGTAAGATATAGGTATATAAGTGTGTGTGTGTGTGTGTGTATGTATGTATATATATATATATATATATACATATATATATATATAAAAGAAGTCCAAAATTTGTAGGTCAAGCAACAGGCTGGAAATTCCAGCAGTCTTCTGTTCCAAATTGATATCTGAAGCATAGAGGAGAGGGAAGAGTTTTGGTAGAATGTCTATTTATAGTCTGGAGGCAGAATCCTTCCTTGGGAAAGCCTCTGATTTTGCTCTTAAGGCCTTCAAGTAATTAGATGAGCCCCACCCATATTACAAAGGATAACCTGCTTCACTTAAGGCCAGCTGATTTAAATGCTCGTCATATATAAACACTTCATAGCAACATCTAGAGTAGTGTTTGACCAAATAACTTGGCACCTATTAACCATACTTAATCTCCAAATGAAAACAGTAACAAAATTGTACCGCCATGTGACATGATACACCTATTCTGCATACAACCAAAAATGCACTAACTCCTTCCCTAGAGTGGATACGAAGTGATGTTCACTTTTCTCCTTGATACCCTATAACTTCATTGTTATTGTTGTTGTTTTTAGCTGCCTACGAGTTGGCCCCTGGCTTGTTGTGACCCCATAGACAGTGGAACAAAATACTTCCTGGTCTTGTGCTGTCTCTATGATTGGTTTCATATCGGACCATTTTGGTCCATACAGTTTACTATGGCTGATTTTGGGAAGTAGTTTGCCAGGCCTCTCTTCCTGGTGTGCGTTAGTTAGCAAGCTGTGCTGAAACCTGTTCAGCATCACAAGAACATGTGAGCCTCCACTTACAGATGGGTAGTGGCTGCACACAAGGTGCATTGGCTGGGAATTGAACCTGGGTCTCCCACATAGAAGTCATGAATTCTACCATTCAACCACCAATGCCTTTAGAGAATGAAAAGAACAAAGATATTTACACACACACACACACACACACATTTATAAAAAAAATAAGGAGGAAATACTCATAATAATTAGTTTTTGTTTCTGCAACTGGTTATGTGATTATAGCTGGTATTTAAAACTACCTTATTCCATTACTCATTGCATGTTTTCTTTGCTTTCAACAAGTACCTCAGTTGGTTCTTTGCCTTGTAAGGTGACCCAAACCTTCACTTTTGGAATGGACTGGCCCATTAGTGGTCCTGCTTGATTTAGGTTGTTATAGTTTTCTGTTGACTTTACTTACAAGGCATGGTAGTAGTAAGAGATGCCCTAATGGATTGCCTGTATTCCAAACATACTCTTTCTTACCTGCGTTCTGTAATAGCAGTCCAATTTCCCTGTTGGTAATCAAGATCAGTCACACCAGCTAGTGTAGTAACTCCCTTTTTTATCTGTTCATTAAAAGGCATGAGGAGCCCAAAGAGTCCAGGTTGTAGTCTTAACTTCCAGTTCAGTGGAATTATTGTTGTGTCTCTGGATGAAAGCACTTGGAACTAAGACCTGTAGAGTAGCAGAGTATAGGGTCATAGAGAAGAAGCAAAAATGTACCAGTGGCTCGTTGAGGGTTATAATGTGTGGTGCTATGCCCATTTATGTTTGGAAGTTTATTTCCTGAAAGTACATTTGGAATATAAATAAAAGTTGGTAATCCAGGATCCTTTCTTGATAAGGGTTTGAATGTTCTGATGAGTGCTTGGTTTTGGCTTTTCACATCATTTTGATTGAGCTTGTAGAGGTGTTTAGGCATGATGGAGCTATTTGCATTTGTTGATATTTGGTAAAAATATTTTGGTTTACATGTTTATGATGATATGATCGAGCCTATTGATTTTGAAAGATCAAAGTGCCTTTCAAGAATTTATGCATTCTTTTGTAGGGCTCAAAGTCTCCTTCACCAAGACCAAACATGCCTGTTCGATACTTCATAATGAAGAGTAGCAATTTGAGAAACCTTGAGATTTCTCAACAGAAGGGTATCTGGTCTACAACCCCTAGTAATGAGCGGAAGCTAAATCGAGCCTTTTGGGAAAGCAGCATGGTTTACTTGGTATTTTCTGTTCAAGGATCTGGACATTTCCAGGTGAGCTGTCCTGAAATAACAGTAAAATGGGGCTGTTTTGGCTGCAAGTTTAGCCTACACAAAAAACCTGGCTTTTTATTTCCTCAAAACACAGGGAGTGCATTTTGCTTGACTGAAAATGAGGAATATATTGTTCCCTTCCAGAGAATGATAGAACTGTGATCCCTTTGTTTTTGCCTTGTCTTCCTAGAGCCTCTCTAAATTAACATTTTTTTCTGAAGACAGTTTTAGATTTACTAATTCCCAGGTGGATTAAAAGTAGTGAGAAGCTTGACTGTCTGATAAAATATTTATGTAAATAGGCAAAGAAATTTAGTGTTGACAATCAAGACATTAAGTGTGTTTCTTAACTCATGTTGACTTAGTATATATTGGAATTTACAAAATAATTTATTATATGGTATTACTGTAATTTTTAGAAATAAGAGTTTGGAAGTTATTTTATATCCATTTATCATGGGATAAATGTGAATTTAGAGTTGTTGCTACATTATTTAGAAAATATCTATTAATATTTGCAATTGTTAGAAGACTGGAATTGGTTTTTCCTCTAAAATTTGCTGATATTTTTAACTAAATTTTTAAATAAAAATACATTTAATAAGTAGCTTATGTTTTGTTTTTGTTATACATCTTATTTTTATACACATTTTTACTTTAAAACAAAAACTTAAAACATATCAGGTAAATTGAATTTAGTTTAATATCTTCCTCACCCTTACCTCTTCCCCCCACTTTACTTACAGGGATTTTCTAGGATGTCTTCAGAGATAGGAAGGGAGAAGAGTCAGGATTGGGGTTCAGCTGGACTAGGAGGAGTATTTAAAGTGGAATGGATACGAAAAGAAAGTCTTCCCTTTCAGTTTGCACACCATTTGCTCAATCCTTGGAATGACAACAAGAAAGTCCAGATAAGCAGAGATGGGCAGGTATACAATGGCATTTACAATGTTTTCTTCCACTTATTTTGTTTTTGTTTTGCTTTGTTGTTATTCATTGATTTGTTTGAGGAGCAAATTGTATGTTTCTTACACACTTGGGAAACAATGGTTTAGATTTGTAAAGGAGCTATCGAAAACCTGCTTGCAAAATGTCTGATAGAGGTCATTGCTTTTTAAACTTTTTTTTAAGTTTGGCATCTCTATATCATTGCACTTATAAAATAGTTTATAGGCCACTTCATGGAGGATCTTGTTGCCTTACTATAAACATATGACCCAAACTGAATGCAACTCTGAATTAATTTGACTAAAGTCTTAAGAAGAACATAGAAATCAACTTCTTTATAGCTTTAATTATTTATATGAAGTAAATAAAAAACTCTTAATATTCAATCTGTTTTATTTCTGTTATGTTTTACTTTGCCTTCATGATGCTGCTAACATAGATTTTAAACTAGTTAAGATGATGAGCATTAACGTATGTTGACAAAATACTGTGCTAACTGCTTTGTATGATCTAGTTTAATTCTTCTGCATAAAATGAGTTATTAGCCCAATTTTATATAAGAGAAAATTGACTCAGAGATACTAGTTTTACCTGAGGTCACACAACTTATAATTGATTTGTACCATTGTGATTCACTTCGAATCATTTCGTGATAAGTTTTGGGTTCTTTTTAAGTGCCTTTTAGAGGTTTCATCCACAAGAGAATAATAAAGTAACAGTTTTTTTTAATTGTATAAAAGCATTTTAGTTTTTATCCTATAATAATGATTTTCAAGTAAATCTAAATACTCCTTGAGAATACATAGTCACCTAAGATAGTTTCTTGGAAAACAAAACACAAAATAGGTTTTACAGTAATCTTTGTAAGTCCAAGCTGAGTGCTTTTGCTGAATCTCTATTAAAAGCCAAATCCAGTGTATCCAGCTATAAGAGTTTCCAATTTTCCATGGAAATCTCCTGCAATTTGTCACAAATAGTTGAGATATTTGCATGTTGTAGCAAGTCTGGAAGTCATCTCCATAAATCTGAAAGCATAGAATTCAGGCAATGTATATCATAAGATTTTAGCATGTTCTAGAAGAAAAATGAAATTTAAAGTGATTTTTAAAATTTTTATCAGTATAGGTTTTAGTGATTTAAAAACAAAAAATATTTCAATCTGATTCTTTTTATGTTTACTTTGACTTTTGATTTATCTAGGAACTAGAACCTCAGGTTGGTGAACAGTTGCTGCAGTTATGGGAACGCCTTCCACTGGGAGAAAAAACCACAACTGATTGACACTCAGGTTATAGCATTCTTGACTTTGAGTACTGGTGGTGTATGTGATCACTAAGAATGTCTTTCAGATAATTATATTTTCCTTTTTTTTTTTTTAAACTTTTCTAGAACTTACAGCTACCAAAAAACATGATGCCTATTTATAACCACTTGATGCACTGACTTCTGAAAACTGAGAAGAGGTTGTCTGTTATAAATGGGCTTCTTTAGTTTAATGTTTCAGAACTGTTCCTCTTAATATAAAAAAAGATAATTTTAATTTTTATAACGATCATACAGTTAGTACGTAGTGTTTTGTAAATACAGGTTTATCACTGAATAAAATAGTAGTTTCATTATTTGGCACAGAACAGCATTATTCTAAATGTACTTAATTTAAAGTTAAACATTTCATTTGTTTAAAACACTGACTTACATTTCTTACTGATGGCTTTTTAATGCAAAGTAAATTGGTTTCTTTTAATAAAGGCCTGAACCATATCATTACATTTGAACACTGTTTGATAACAGTTAACTCTTAACATATATCATTAAAAACATACAAGGAAAAACAAGTAAATTCTAAAAATGTCCCTTTTAAAGCAGTATATGCTAATAAGGGCTATTCATTTTACCATTATTAACCCGAGATACATTAGGGAAAAAAGGAGAGATATTCTTTTTCAGCAATTATGAAATGCAGTAAAATCTGATAAAAGGTAGAGAGTTCTCCCCTGCTTTTGATCAGATCAAAATAAGTGCTCAGTTTTATTCCTGGTCTTGCTTGTATAGTGTACCCCTTCCTACCTCTCATTTTATACCCTTCACACTTTTCTTACATAAGTACAGTAATTATGACCTCTTGTTTTTAGTTAGAGAAATTGGATTTAGACAAGTTTAAAATTTTAAACAAGATGTTAGACAAGTTTTAAAAATTGCTCAATGAGTAGCAGAGGTAGCTTAGTTACTGTGTATCTTCCAAACTACAAAAAGCACAATTCTAAATGCCTTCTCCCATTTTTCTTTTCAGTACTTTTTCTCTTGTTTATACTTTTGGAAATAATTTTTCTTTGTTGCATTTATGGCTTAATAAATTGGGGATAATTTTTTGTAAATCTGTGCTGGTGCCAACTCTCATATCTCTTTGCCATTTCAGAATTACCTGTTCTTACCTCTTTATTACCACTGTCTATAAATTTTCCTTAGATTGTTTTTGAAGTTACTGAGCTCTAAATAGAACAGGTTAGATACCACTTTTCATGCTACATTTGGGTCATTGTTTAAAAACAAAAGAGCATGACAAAAAGACAAAAAGAAACTTCTAAGTCCTCTGATTCTGTATTTAAGAACAAAGCATTGAAAAATCACAGGTACACATAAAATCTTGAGAGCCATTCTATTTTCTCTGGGAAAGTATTATATGCTGGTTTATTAGTTTACAGTGTCAGCTATGATTTTAGCCTGTATTTTGTAGTTACTAGGTTTTTTTGTTTTGTATTTTGAAACATACCTGTAAATTGAGCCTATGTGAATTATGTTGCACTGTATGATGTGTATTACAGTTCTTTTCCTGTTAGAGCAACTTTTATCTTCCTGATAATGTACACATTTTGTTTAGATATTTGTTTAGTAGTTCTTAGTGTTTTAAATTTGGAAATGATTTTTAAAATATAAAACTTTTAATTTTCATCTCTTTTCTAATATCTAGCCCTGTATGTAAATGATGAGTTTGTTGGTATTTAAAATGAATACAATTTGATTGTAGTCAAAATGCTGGTTATGAAAGATATGAACTTTAAATATACTTATTAAATGAAATTTTATTAAATTATTCAGATCTTGTTATTTCTGATACTGTATAAAAACACTCTCACAATTATCTGAATGTATTAGATAACATTGAATTTCAAGCCCCCTGAAGAATATTAAATTAATATAGTAGGTGATGGTCTCATTTCAGACCCCTACCACTTGAAAAATTGTACCTTTTTAATGAAGGGAAACAATAAAAATCCCAAAGTTTATGTTTAATATGCAATCTTTTAAATATTAATAAAATGTTCAGAAGTAGGAGATCTAGGCTCCTGTGTTAAAACATTTGTATATATTATGAACAGTATCTCTCCTTAATAAATGTTAGTATTTTTCCAAGTATCTGTATCAAATTTTTTCTAAATACCCAGGAGAAAATAACTTGCAGTACAATATCTTGGTAGCTAAACCATTTTTAGTTAAAGGATACAGTTCTCTTCTGTCAGCTAGCTTATTTTTTATTTCTGTCAGCTATCTAGTCATTCATTTAGAAAATACAGAACATCTACTATTTACCAATTAATATCCAAGTGTTTCTTTATACAAAGTAACAATACAGTAGATACTTGCTCTCCATCAGCATTTCATCTCTCGGATAATACTCGTTTCAACTAATTTATTGGGAGCAATTCATTGTCCTTTATGATAAATATTTTTCAGTATTATTTGCAGTAGCATACTAAGATGTATCAAGTACATTCTTGCTGTCCAAGAGGTGCTTAGAATCTTTTGGGAAACAGTTTTATTTTGTTTGGTATACCAGTTACCATCGAATGTACTCCAGCTCCTGGCAACTCCATGTATAGAGCAGAACTGTGCTTCGAAGGCTGATTTTTTGGAAATAGATTGCCAAGTCTTTCTTCTGAGCTGCCTCTGGGTGGACTCAAAGTTATAACCTTTTTGTTAGCCACTGATTGTGTAAATTGTTTGCTCTACCCAGGGACTTCTTGGTATAGTATAAAAACCAAACCACACTTACTGCCATCGTGTCAATTCCGACTCATAGCAACCCTCTTTGGGTTTCCAAGGTGGTAAATCTTTACAGAAGTAGATTGCTCAGTTTTCCTTCCATGGAGTGGCTGATGGTTGGAACCAGAAACCTTCTGATTAGCAGTCAAATGCCTTAGGCACTACCCTACTGGAAATTAATATAGACCAGGCATTTAAGAGGTGGACAATCATTGAAGACTTCATGGTGGAGTTGTATTTGTAGATGCCTTTAAGAATAGATGTTGTTGCTGTTGGCTGCCATGAAGTCATCCTGTCTCATGGTGATCCTATGCATGTTGGAGAGAAATGCTACCCGGTCCTGCCCCATCCCCACAATGGGTTGTGGATTGGACTGTTATGATCATAGGGTTTTCATTGGCTGATTTTCAGAAGTAGATTGCCAGGCCTTTACTCCTGGTCCATCTTAGTCTGAAAGCTTTGCTGAAACCTATTGAGTATAATAGCAGCATGTAAATACCATTGACAGAAGAGTGGTAGCTGCCCATGAGGTACACTGACTGGGAATTGAACCTGGGTCTCCTGAATAGAAGGCAAGAATTCTACCACTGAACCACCACTGCCCCCATTCTATCCATTTTAAGAATGGATAGAATTTGTAAAAGCATTAGAACAATAAGCTAAAACAATAGTGAAAAGCTGGGAAAAGGATATGGTATATTTGGGAAACAGTCCATATTAGCTACTTGGCCAGCTTTTGCACAAGAGTTTTGCAATATGAAATACCATGTTTATAAACAGCTGAAGATTGAGAATTGAATCCAGTGGATCTTGAACTTTAGTGTGCAGCTGAGATGCCTGTTAAAAATACTTCTCCAATACTGGGATCTGATCCTGTTATAAATAGGGCTAAAGAACTTGCATTTTTGGTAAACACATCAGAGACTGATGATTCATTTTGACCATGTATTACATTGAAACAGACTGATAAAATCAAAGAAGATAGCTTTGGGTGTATATTTCAAAGTTGAGGGATTACCATGAAATTTTCACATTATGCTTAGCTGTCTTAGTGAAATAAAATAATGGAGGTGATTTCAAAGCTAAAAGTAGCGATCACTTTTTAAAAATTTTTTATTGTGATGGGTGAAAGTTTATAGAGCAAATTCATTTTTCATACAGTATTTGATATGTATGATTGATTTCATGACATTGACTGCAATCCCTCACAATGTAAGAGCTCTCATCCCACTTCCTCCATTTGCTCTTTGAGGACTAAGGTGTGCCTGTCCCCAAGCCATGGTATTTTCAATCACCAGACGGGTGGTGGATAATGCTCTTAAAACCCAAAGATATATTTTTAAATATCATCTGTGTGATATTTTCTCAACAAGAGTTTCCTCCTCCCTGTATCCTTTCCTCCCATGCACTTCTGCCCTCCTGAGCTATCTTCCTGTGCAAACACTGCCCTTCTGTTCTCCCACAGTTGATTGCTCCAAGGAGTGTATCTACCTGATTTAAATGTTCACCCCATATGCCCGTTCATTGTTTGGCTGGATGTCACAGGCGTGAGTTCAGTTTCAGACTTGAATGGTAACTAGGGGTCATAGTCTCAGGGGTCTCACCAGGCTCTATCAGACTAGTAAACTGACTTTTTTTTTTTTTTTTTTTTAATGATTATGAGTTTTATTCCACATTGTTCTCCCACTCTATCCAGGATCTCCTGCACTGATCTCTTTCTGAGTGGTTGACAGTGGGAGCTGGGTGCCATCTAGTTCTTCTGGTCTCATGGTCATATAGGCTGAGGATTGCATGGTCTGCTAGTCCCTTGGACTAATTGTTTTGACGTATCTTTGTTTTTTTTTTTTCATTCTCCTTTGCTCTATGTGAGGAGAGGCTCATCGATGCATCTAGATGGCCACTTGTAGGCTTTTAAGACTCAAGTCGTTACTCACCAAAGTAGGATGTAGAATGGTGTTTTTGTGTAGTGTTGTTGTGGTTGTTGTTGTTATGTGCCATCGAGTCAGACCCGACTCATAGCGACCCCTCCTTGGATTTCCAAGGTGATATCACTATGGAAATAGATTGCCCAACCTTCCTTCCGAGGAGTGGCTGGTGGGTTTGAACTGTCAGTCAAGTGCCTTAGGCATTATACCACCAGAGCTCCTTTTGTGTAGTATGTTATGCCAATTGAGCTTGATGTCCCTTGCAACCATGGTCCCGAGCCCACAGGTCCAACTACTTGCTCCCTCAGGGTAGCTGGCTGTG